AAAGTACCTACCTAAATATTTTGAAAATGTAATCATAATTTTTTGCAATTAATATTTTAAACTTGTTTTTAATGGAGGGAAGTGTAGTGGACACACAGTGGTTATTCACTAAAAAAATGGCCTGCAATGTATGATATAATTAATTAATTCCTACTTACGTCTCTAACATTGCCTGTTGAGGCAATAAACTGTTTCTGGATTTGACTCCATGCCTCGGTTTTGGCTTCCCAAACATCATGGTCAGACTTTTTGGACTCCAAAACGCTCGCGTGCTTAACAGCCAACGCCACCMACGTTTTCTCTTCGCCGGGAGAAAAATTAGTACAACGCGGTCGTTTAGATGTCATAGTTTTCGGMATTTTTAAAATAAGAAAAGGAGTAACCGCCAACAGAAGACAGAATTAACAAAGAATACAAATTTTATTACCTTGTTATTTACGTTAAAATATAAAATTAATAAAATAAATAAAATTGATAATCATAATATGATAACACAAAAATTCGATGTTTGCGCATGCGCAAAACAGTTAAATTAAATTATCAGTGGTGGTTTTGGGAATCACTTACGGTAAAACTTGGCGTTAGTTATACATTGCTTAACCGGAGGTGGTAAGAACGGATTTCGATAACCGGGRCATAACCGAAAATGTTGCCGTTAAGTTACCGACACTTTAACCAACACTTTAACCGGACATTGTAAGAACGGCCCTTAATAATTTTCTCTAATATTTTAGCGAAATTGCTTATCATTAATATTGGTCTATAATTATTAATGTTCATTGAGTCACAATGTTTATATAATGGTTTGATAATAGCTAATTTATGTTTATCAGGAAATGTATATTCTGAAATAATTAGGTTATAAATATATGTCAGAGGTTCAATAATATTTGTAGCGATAGATTTTAATGATTTCACATATTATACTCCATCAAAACCTGCAGCAGTATCATCATTCAAATTATTTATAATTTCATGCATGTTAATATTCTCATTAAAAATCAAGTCAAATGAAGCATTTGTGCTAGCTTCATAATTAGGGCCCTGATTTTTATGCAAATGCATATTCTTCTACATTTTACTTATAACAATTTTGATTAAATATCTTGACGTTTCGTAATTCGTAGATTCGGCTATTAATTTCTGTTATTGCATATTTGCATCAAAATGCATAAAAGTTGCATATTTCTGGATAATTACATGAAATGTGCATATTTTATAAATACTTAATAAAATATTAGAAAACTATCAGAAACTATTAGGGATAAATTCTCAAATGTTGATTTGTTGATATCTAATACAAAAAAAGTCCAAACTTAAGTTTATCACCACAACCCGATGGGGAACGTGGCTAGATGCCGCCTTTTATTATAGTAAGAATTTCGACTAAGTCAAAGAAATAGTCGATACATTTAACTCAAATGATGCTACAGTCTATTCAAAATGCACAACAATTATTTAATGATAACTCGATCAAAAATGAACTTTCAGTAAGTTTATCAAATTTCCAATGTATAACAGACACTATCACGTGTCTAGAAAAATCGAGTGTTAATCTTGAAAAAAGTCTAGAATTGGTTCAAAATGTTGAAAATAAATTGAGTGAAGGAGGACTTGGTATTAAATTTGCTAAAGTGAAACTATCGGAACTATTATCAAAAAATCCCGGATTATCACAAATAAAAAAAATTTATGGAATTATAAGCGGAGAAATGAAACGATGATGAAGACCTTGCAGAGTTGTCACCAGAAGATATTTCTTGTTTCAAATACGCAYCAATTGTGTCAGCAGACGTGGAAAGAAGTTTTTCGAAATATAAGACGATGTTACGTGACAATCGTAGAAGCTTTCTATTTGATAATTTAAAAGCACATTTTGTTACATCATGTTGGTATTCATTCAATAATTAATATACATTTTTATGCTAGACCTAAACACATTTTAAATACTTATAATTAATTTGTATTTTTTTTCGCTTAAATTATCGTAAATTATTATAATTTAATACTAAATTGTTCTTACCAAAGTTGTTAAATTAAGCTTTAACTGCTCATTTTCTTGCAACAATAATGCATAAGAATTTTGTAAGGCCAGGTTTTTTGTTTTTAAATTCTTTTACAGTTAGTACAATTATTTTTTAAATATTAGTATTTATGTATRTATTAATATATTTAGTTTAAATTAAGTTAGTATAGTTTGATTTATAAATTGTATACCGTTTGTATTATAGCTTCGCCAAGTTCTTCCTTCAAATTGCTATTGCTAATATTACATTCATTTAACTCTTCAGTTAAAATTGTGTTTTTATTTTTTAAGCTATGTACCTCCTGTAAATTTTTATTTTTTTTATATTTACTTGAATATCATATTATTAAGTTATATTACATGAATAGTCGATTGTAATACATCAGAAATCGATTTGTACCCTGCTTTATAAAAATCAATTTCAGATATATTAATATTTTCATTCATAGCTAAAAAGTCTTCATATGTTTCATATTTGTCCATGTTTAGTACATAAAATGAATAAAAAAATTAAACTTTTAAATTTTACACTGTTACACCTTTAAATGAAACTATGTATACAATTTTGTTTTGTATCTCATGGATATGCATTTAATGATATATTATAATCTTTGGTATTTCCTAACATCAATCAATATCAGTATCGTGAGGGTTTATCCCAAACTTTTATCATTTTAAACTAAATTTAACTTTGTTGTTACTGTTTAACTTTTAAATCTTTATCTGTACATGGACTACAATATGTTTTAATAAAACTAATTTATCTAATGTTATATTTCTTGTCGACTTTTATTTTATTTTATATTGATTTCATATCCATTTATGCAAATTAAGTATACATATCATATTAATATGTATAATAATCTTGAAAAAATTAATATGCTGCATTGTTTCATAGAATCTGGAAAAAATTCCAGAGCTGCTGCAAGGTAAACGAATTTACATATGTATATTTAATGCTATTATTTTAT